GAAACCGTTGCCTACTTCTGCTTCCTGTTCATGTCTCTGATGATAAATCCGCGACGGATGTCGAAACGTCAGGCGAAACAACGTATTGTCCCAGCGGTCTAGTCTTCTTCTTCTCAAGTGCAAATAAATATTTAATTGTGTTGAATATGATCAAACAATATTGAACTTAAGCCAATAATAATTGTTATAATGAGTTAAACATGATCATTTCTATCAAGATAAACGGCTGTTGCTACTGATGCCTACAGATAGAAATTCGGCCCTATATTGGCGGAATTTAAGGAAAAAGGAAATTTGGGCTACTGAAAATGTAAAAGTAGTTTATAATTAAAAGGCAAAAGACAGCCCTACCGTTCAAACAAACCGCAATGTCTCCTTGGTCCACAGGCCTGGAAGCAAAGTCGATTTTACAAACAAAGAGCAGTAGTCTTATCGTGAAACAGGTCAAACCATAAAGGCGGACACCCATAAAAGTAAAGTAAGTTTGCTCGTGGTGACAAAGGAATAAGGTAGTTTGGTAATCGTTCAACGCCGTAGACTCGGTGTCTAGTCTGGTGCGATTAAATATATTGACTGTGATGGTGTAGCACGCAGAAACCACATAACCCCTTGGGACTCCCTTGTCAGCTCCGCCAGCAGTTTGTTTGCTGGATGAGGACGGATTTAAAGCCAGCAGATACAATATAGGCTTTGGAATGCATTGCCCGCAAAGATTAGGGATACTGTAATTGCAATTTCGGGATAAGTTGTCGTCATAAACCAGTTATCTCCAATCCAGCGCGTGTAGTACCACAGGCTCTAACCCCCAAGCCTTCGCATATACTGCCAGCCACAGTGCGGTTACTCCCAGAGTTCAAGGGTAAGAAGCAAGGCAGAACGGGACGCGAAAGTTCCGCAAGCAATCTCTGAACGGTCATCAATGCATGTCAATATTTCTGATCTAAACTGGCAAGACAACGAGCCCCTGACGCAATAGTTAGGGTCTTAGGCTTCCGATCAACAGGCTGCGGTTGCAGCGCTTGAGGAGAACGCCATCTAGGGTTTGTTGAGGTAACGTAATGATGGCTAATTAACCCGAAGTGACCACTCCACGTTGTCTTTGTCGGCTATGTTTACATGCCTAGACTACTATCCACTGTGTAGCTGCTGGCGGAACTCGAGAGTGAGT